GATTAGCCTTCGGTGTAAGTGAATGAGGCGTTCGACACGGCGAGAGAAATGCGAACGATGACGGGCAGAGCACAGCGACAACGAAAGTGGGAGTGTACTATGGGGCACAACGTCGTGCACTTCCCATGACAGAACATTGCACAACGACACGACTAAATCTTATCAGAAAAAACCCAATCATAACTCAACAACACAAATCTCATCACTCTCTATATTCGCTCATCTATACAGAGTACTTTTTTTTTTCATTGTTTACGTTTTTATGCATGAATTATTTAGAGATGAATATCTAATAACAACGGTAGACGTGTCGTATCGATGCTTCTTCTTTCTTCTTCTCTGTATATGCTTAATTACTCGGACAGTTATTTCTTTTATTTATTCATGGCGTTCTTATCATGAAATATATAGTTAGGCATGGAATTACTGTTGATCTCTCTCTCTCTCTCTCTCTCTCTCTCTCTCTCTGTTTTTACTCTGTTTTTCAATTTTGAAAGCTTCTCTTTCTGTGCAGTATCTGAAGAAAAAGGACCTGAAGTCTCTCTACGAAGCTTTACAGAAAGTAAAAGAAGGTATGAATTCTTGGTTCAATTTCATACTAATTAATTTTTAAAAATCTGAGTACAATAATACATTTGATTTTGTGTATTCAATGAATGTGTGGGTGCAGAGTTGATGCTGCTAGGGTTCATTTCACTGCTTCTGACTGTACTTCAAAGTAGTATTACCAAGATATGTGTGAAGGAGGGCTTGACCCATCACTTCCTTCCTTGTAAATTAGTCTCCGAAGGAGGAGAGTCTTCTTCTAATTCAACTGGAGCAACTTCCCATTATCAACGTTTGCTAGCTGAAGCAACTTCAGGGACTGGTTACTGTGCCGGAAAGGTCATCACATCACATTAACACCCTCCCTCTCCTGAATTTTACATTTATTGCATTTTTTAAAAAAAACTTTATCTATCTATGTTTATTATTTATTTATGGTCCTAATCAGAAGTTTATAAGGTTTGTTGGGTCCTTCCACAAAGATGTGAGATTGAGTTAGGGGAGGTGGCATCTGTTGATCTTGAGAATCATGAGAATCCTATTTAGCTGTCATTTTGTTCTCCTGCTAACAACCACCTTACATCCTTAATTCAATCTAATTTGGATCTCAGTCTTTATATTAATTATATAACTGTTTTGATTTGGATTGTGTTAAAACATGCTTATGGGTTATAATATGTACGATTAATTTGGTAATTTGGTTCCATGATAAGTTCATATTCTAATTGTTCACTGTATTTTTTATTTTTTTTGATCGGCGAAAGTTAGTAGTTAGTTGTTAGATTAGCACCTTATTATCTTTAATTTGTTGCGCATAAACGTCGATCCACATTGATAAGTCCAATTCTTGAAGGTTTTTGAATCTTGTTTTGTTGTCTTCCCGCAGAAGATGGTCCCATTGTTGTCTGTTGAAGCATTGCATCATCTACATGTCTTTATCTTCGTGCTAGGCTTTGTCCATGTGACATGTACTGTTCTCACTGTTGTAATTGGAACGGCAAAGGTGAGTACGATATTTGTTTCTAATTTTCTCCAAGCTAAATTTTGCAACTAGTTATTGTTGATACTTATTAAATGTATTATTGTGCTGTGCGTTATTATTTTTTTGTTTGTCATGGCATAGATACGTCAATATCAAGAAATCAAGACAAAAAGATTGCATAAGTGTATCAGGCCAAGAACAGTGGTAGAAAGCAACAGACATGTGAACAGTGCGAGTGTTCAAGACATGGATAAAGAGCAAAATTATGAAATAAACATGTTTAGATACATGATTCGCAAATCAAATATTCGAGTAAAACAGCAATGGCGACTAAATGATAAAACAGAATTTTATGGAACACGACAAGAACTGAAAACCAAGAGGAATGATGACTTACCAGAGAAAAGAAGCCGATGCTTGAGATCGCCGAAGTCAGAAGAACGGTGGCGGTAAAACAGATTGGCAAGAACCACGTTGGAAGAGGTTAATGGTAGCGATGACAGAGCTTCAGAGCTATAGGATGGACTTTTGATGCTAACCTAGTTGGGATGATTTAGCTTATTGTGATACTTTTGCACTCCCATTTTCTTTATTGATGTAATTTGCTTTGTACTTTGTACTTGTTTATTCCATCAATAAAGTTTCTTTTTTGCAGATCAAAAAAATAAAAATAAAATGATTGCTCATCTTTGTAGACGAGTTTTTTTTTTAGCAACAAAAAAGAGATTTTGTTGATAAGAAGGAGAGTGCAAAAAGTATCATGATGAACAAGATCATCCCAACTAGATTGGCACAAAAACACTTCCCTTATTATTTGCTAGCACCCCAAGTTAGTCAGCAACTAATGAAAGAAACCAACAAAGAGAAGAGAGCAAATAGGGCACACACAACATAGTCACATCTTGACAAACAAGGGGAAAAAACTAAAACAATAAAAAAAGTGCAATTGTTATGCCAAAGCACTAAACTCCAACTCAGCCATCATTCTTGATACAATACTGAACTTGTTGCAGATTAGACACACAATATCATTGACAGAGAACACCACAGAGATTGGAGAGGCCTTAACAAGATCACATAATTAGTCAAAGTTTGGTTGTGTTAAGTTTTTATTCTTGGCAATCCCGTTTGACAAAACTCCTTTCAGTTGTAATTGTATTCGATCTTTTATTTCAGTGAGGCTATGAGTTTTAGATGCGAATCCAACTCGAATTGTGCTTTGCAGAGATGTTTGAGAAGTTAATTCTTTCTTGTTTTCCACTTCGCTGACTATGTCGGGGATCGAGCTTCCAGATCTTCTTCTTGGTTATTAGGATTTTTATCTAGGGCTTTTTTGCTAGTTTCTTTGATGTTTGTTTGAGTTTAATTCATGATTTGAGAAGTATACATCAAAGGATTGTTTGTTTCATTCAATAGAAAAGAGAGAGTTGTTCTTCGGTCAGTTCTGGGGAATTTGGGCTTGAAGCTTTGGTAGATTCTGGAGCGGCTTATCATCGTGGGTTCGACATTGACATTGTGGATTCAACGTTGGGAAAAACAATTCCGAGGTGAAGACGGGGTTGGAAGAGGCACATTGGTGTCGGTTCGATTCGGGCGTGGATTCGCTAGGTAATTGAGAGTACACTTGTGTAATTCCTTTATATCTTCTTAGTGAATTGTTTTGTGGCTATTGCTCATGTTTTTTTTTTTATCACAATTGGAGGCGCTCCAGTTATGGTTTTTCCACCTTAAAATCATTGTGTCGATTTGTCTTGATTGTTTGATTGAGATTGTTATTTACTACTTAAAATTGATACATAATCATAAATCAATATTTGGGGGATTTCTAGATTTTTTAGGTTGAATACCATTAAACAAACACTCATTTCTATGCTTCCAAGTGGACCAGAGAATAGCTAGAGGTAGAGCCAACCATATTTTATTTTCCAACTTTTTCATTCTACAACCAGACCACCACTACAGCAGCCCATTCACAGAGCTAGGCAAAACCCAATGGAATCTCCACCATCTTACAATGTTAGACCAAAGCATCCATACAAAAGGGTAGGAAAAAAGAACATGATCCACTTTTTCTACCTCATTTTGACAAAAAAAACACAAGCAAGATTAACATTCCCATTGTCAAGACCCAAACCTGTCCCTATAGGTTTAGCGCCATGATCGGCTAGTAAACATAGATAACCTATGACCCCAAAAAACAAAAACCTTTTAAAGTTAATTATGGGGCTTAGCGGAAGTATAATATAACATAAATAGTTATCCATTGAGCCATGCGCATATGAAGAGAACTTCGTATCATAAGGAAACATTCGTTCTTTATGTACATTTATCACATAAGTTCAAACATCCATGTCTTATATATAAACATAACCCCAACTTATACACAAATACAAAAAGGATTGTACAAAGCAAAAAAGTGTTTAGCTAACATGGGTCCACCTGAGCCTAGCTTACTTCGCTCAGAATCTTCCTAAAAAAGGCTGACCCGAGTAGACTCGACGCATTCTTTAACTTTGATGTTCTATTTGCCAACCTGTAGACACCTCATTTTTGACCGCCCTTATGACTTGGGTGCCACTGATTGATCACTCGATGATGAAAGTTGTGCTGTGCAAATGTTCGATTTCTTCAGCAAGAAGAGCTCTAAATCCCAACCTCACACCCCTTTTTGAACCAAAACTATTTTGATCAAAAAATTTTTAGATCTCAAAACCCTCTCTTTCAAAATATTTTTGAAAAGCTTCAACGATGTTTCGAGGCTCGTATTTCGTTAAATGTTGCCCTTTTCGGTAAACCGAGCAAGGACAAAGCGGAAATAAATGGAAGAGGGGTGAACTCTTTCAAAAGTATTTTAAAACATATTATTTAGAGGTTTGGAGTTGAAGAAAATTGAAGGGGAGAGAAGAAACCTAGTTGGGGAAGAAGTTGGGCATAAACCGTTAAGAAAGAACTGAGCAGCCTTCAATAAATTAGGTCTATCCTTTTGTACACTTGGACTTAAGTTGTGGGGCCGCCACCATTGGAATTTTACACTCAAGAATCTCCTATAGCCGAGTTCGGATGAGGGAGATATGACTATGTGAAGTCAGGCATCAATCCGATTAAACCAAAACTGAGCAACCTTTACTAAAATAGGCATATCTCTTTTCACACTTAGAATTTTGATGTGAAGCCATTACCATTGGAAAGTAGACTTACGGGGCTTTAATTTAGACTCAAGAATGACCTGCAAAGGAGTCCAGATGAAGGAGATATGCCCGTTTGAAGTTGGGTCTGGGAGCAGACTTTTGGTGGCCGACTGGTCACCATTGATAGCTAACCGGCCATCATTGGTGGCTGACCGGACACACTTTTGGCTTGTCGGCCAATGGTGAAAACCAAGATATTTTGTGCCAGTTGTCCCTTAAAAGCTCCAGCTGTCCAGGGCTTGATATTTTCGACCCAAGGCTCATATTTTCTATATATAGATGACCTCCCTCTCATACTTCAAGGTTAGAAACATTTAGGAGTGAGAAATTTTTTTTGGAAAAGTCCTCTCTTTACAATCCTCTCTCTCTACAATTCTCTCTCTCTTTTGCAACTTGGATAGCCTATGCCCAAACACACCAAGCCAAACCTAGAGGATAGGGGTGTTCGCCGATCGGTTTTGTGCGGTTTGCAGTTCGGTTTTGACCTGCCCGCATTTATGCAGTTTGGGAAAAAGTCAACTCGCAACCGCCCGCAATGCGGTTTGCGGTTTGTGCGGATAGGATTTGCAAATGTGCGGGCAGTTGCGGGCGGTTTGCGATTTACACTTTTTTCTTTAAAAATTAATTTGAGTTTTTTTTTCCCATCGAATTTAGGCATCAGATTCATTTTATATATTTGTGATCATTTGACAACAATTTTCTGATGAGTTTACAAATAAAAATTGAATATTAATGCATTAAATGAAAGCATCCAAAACAAAGAGACCTTACACTAGCATTTTTGCCATGAAAAAAATGTATATCAATGCATTAAAGGTTGTACTCAATTAGAATTGCTAGTTCAGTAATCAATAATCAAACTAGAAGCTCCATCGACCAACAAAAGGAAAATTCTATTAGGAAAAAGTGGATGAGTCACCAATAAAAATCATATAAGAAACCAAGTTTAGGACTTGATAATTCTACGGCAATAAGAAAGTTGAGAAATACTTAAAAATAAGGATCTTAGTGTCATAGAGAATATAATGGTGCTCCTGTTAAAGTTACAAAGTTAGTATATAAATAATAATAATAATAATAATAATAATAATAATAATAATAATAATAATAATAATTAAAGTGCGGGCGGTTTTTGCGGGTTGTGGGTTTAACCCGCGACCCGCCCGCAACCCGCAAATTTGTCATATTACAAACCGCATCCGCTCGCATTATATTTGCAAAACCGCCCATTTATATGCGGGTTGGGCGGTTTGAGCGGTTCGGATAAACCGTTGCCCACCCCTACTAGAGGACTTCTTATTTGAGCTCTTGAAGCACTTGAGAGTGTGAAATTGGTGGCTTATGCCTTAAGGGCTTATTCCTCTTCAAGAGGTATAATTTCTCTTGCTTTTGTACCATCTTTATACCACTTGTTTTCCATCTTTTCTTACTGTTTTTAAGCTCTTTAAAACCTATTTTTATGGGCTGAAACTTGTAGTTTAAAGCTACCAAAGGTAGAGGGGTTAACCACCCTTCCTTGAACCTTATTCTCCAAGCATTTGCCCTTGTGTTTCCCATTCTTTTCTCAACCTTTTTTGAGCTTTTTACCACTGATTTTCAGAGGTTTTCAGAGGCTAAAAAAATGGTTTTGAGGTCCCAAAAATTTTTTTTTTTCGGGGGGAGGGAGGGGGGGAGGGGGTAGCCACCCTTCTTTATGCTTGTTTATTAGTTCAAAAGCTCTATGTTTGAGCTTTTTGTTTTAGCTACTTTTGTCTTCATTCGAGCATGTTTTCTAACTGATTTTGGGCTATAAAAACTCTATTTTTGTAGCCTAAAGGTGGTGGTTGGAGGCCATTTTCAGTTAGGGGGTGGTTCACCATTCTTACTTTTTTATTTGTAAAGCTTTTGTATCTTTGTTCACCACTTTCAAACCAACTTTTTTGGCCCTTTTAACCACTGAATTTCAAAGGTTTTTCAGTAGCAAAAAACTCATTTTGAAGTCCAAATTTGGAGGGAATAACCTCCCATCTTTGTGTCTTGTTTGCATGCTTAGTTAGCTTTATATGTTAGCATGTTTTTCTAGCTTAACTTAGCTCAAGTCCAGCATGTTTTAGCCTCTGAAATAGCCTGTTTTAGCTCTGTTTTAGGCTAGTTAGTTAATTTGAGTCTTGTTTTTCATGGTTGTAGTGTAATAGTCTTCACAAGTTGGTGTTTTAGGGTCTTAGACACCTCTTGTTTGAGTTGATAGTATCTTTTGGTGTTGTTTTTCACTCCATTTCAGCATTG